CGTGCTACGCATAGACTACTGTTGATACACGATTCGAACGCCAAGACCTACGCCTTGGTCTTACAATGATGCCCAGCCAGTAGAAGTAATCCACCCCGCCGGCCAAGACCTACGCCTTGGTCTTACAAATGAGGATCATCAGCTGAGGGCCCATGCCACGGGTCTTACGGCTCCCATAATACATAAGTAAAGAAGACTACCCATCGGGTACGTTCTATAGCTACGGGGATGACCGTTCGACGGCCGGCACGGCTCACATCGAAGGCTACATGGTTCACATGCATACTTTAATCATACTTTACAACAGAACTAAAATAATATTTACGGCATAGTAATTTTATAAATAAAACCCACTTGGAAATTGAGGTAGAATATCACACTAAAATAGCAGGTAAGTAGGTCGAGGGCTCGGCTCCTCAAACACCTATAATTAAGCGAGATAATATATCACCTATCTATCTCACTTACTCGAATTTAACATAAAACCCACACTTAATCAAAATTAAGGCTTAAGGGTTTTAATGGGATTTTTTTCCTGGACTTGGAACTCTCACATTTTCGAAAAATATGACTCGAAGTACCAAAATTGGAGTCACGGGACTTAAAATAATTTTTCTCAAATTTTCTCATTTGAAAATAATTTTTAAAATTGGGTTCGGCACGAAAAATAAGCTATCCGGTATGCAAAACGGGTCAAAGGATCGAACTGGACTGCCTATCCAAACACTAGCCCAAAGTCTGCCATGCATTGGGCCTCACGCGCATATGGGCCGAGGAAAAACACGCCTGAGCTGCGACCACAAGGCCTGTTACCAGCTGAAAAGGGCGCGGGCTAACACCGGGTTCGCGGGCCGAAGGAGGTGAGGGACGCGGCTCTGCGGGCTCCCACGCGGGCTACAGAACTGGAGAGGTTTCGGGCTGCGCGTGGGCTAGAGCGGGCAAATCGGCCCGCACGCCTTTCTCCTCCTGCTGCTTGTTTTGGGCCGTTAAAAATTGGGCTGCTGGGCGGATGAAAGGGCAGGTGAAGTGGGCTGCTTTAAACAATTTAAAACAAGATAGGCGGCAAAAAATTTAAGAAAGTGAAACACAACAATTGTTTGGGGGTCGCGGGCTGAAATTAAACAAAATTTATACTGCTGAGAACAGAAAAATATTCCACAGATTACAGAACAACTTCCGGCGACGGTTTCGACAATTTGGTACGCACGGGGTTCGAAATATCTCATAAAATTTTCAGAATATAATAACTTTTTCCAGAGTTTGAAAATCCATTAAAAACCGGGTCTTCGGGTCGAAAAACGAAACCACATATATACTCGAACAGCACATAAACGAAAGAGACAACCCTGGAAGTTTCAACGAGACTCCGACTCTTTCATTAAATTGCAGCAATCAGAAAGAAAACAGACTCGATTTAACGAAGTCGAGAGTTCCAGTATGTTCCATGCCAATTCACGATTTCACACAATAATTATCTGAAATTCAACAAACGAATCGATAAATAGACCGAAGTCAAAAACCAACAAACGATTCAACGTAAACGAAAGTAAACGAACTACATTATCCTAACAACAATTAACGAGAAGGTTTCGAAAAGAGTACAAGTCTTCAGGAATCTATGAGTTATTGGGAAACGGTCTGGACGAACGGGACGACGGGACTCAAAACTGGAAAGCTTCGATGGATGGCTGTTGAACACGACCGGCTCGTGAACGAACAGATACACCTCACAACGAATAGCGCTGAGACTCGTGATGAACGGCGACGAACGGGGCCGCAGGAAGTGATCGCCGGAATCAATGGTGTATGGAGCTTCTGTGACGGATTGTTGCCGGAAAACAGAGCTTGGCAATGGCGGACAGCGGCTGGAAATGGACGACCGCGGCTGTTAGGAGAAGAAGGGATCTCCAGAGTGCTGCTCAGAGAGACGCCGACAGTAGAGCTCTCGTCGGAGAAGAAGGTATGCAGATTTTTTTTTTTTTTTAATTTGCGAGAGGATCCTGCTGCGACAAAATTCTTTTGCTTTGAACATTCTGATGAAGAATAAAACTATCGACTGAGATATAAGAGAACAAACGAACGTGCAAGATGATTTTCCCAAAAAAATCGCAACAGTTTTTCAAATGGGAAAGACTTGGTCGGGTTAAGGAGAAAGAGTGGAAGCCCATTAGTGTGGGGCGGGGATAGGTCTCGGTCCCTTACCTACTGTTTGCGGATGATTTACTTCTGTTTATAGAAGCGAGTTAGGCACAGGCGGATTTTTTGAAATTGTTGCTTCTGACGTTTTGTGAGGCTTCGGGACTATGGGTAAGTGAGGCCAAGACTCAGGTATATTTTTCCTCTAATATTCCAGAGGCGACCCGTTCCTCACTAGCTCAACGTTTGGGGTTCCGGGCCATGGATAATCTTGGTAAATACCTTGGGATGCCAATTATACATAGTAGAGTGAACAAAGATATGTATGTGGAGATTGTTGACAAGGCTGAGAAGAGGCTGGCCGGTTGGAAGGCCTCTTCACTCTCTTTGCTTGGTAGGGTCACTCTAGCCCAGTCGGTACTGAGCTCTCTACCGTATTTTTCCATGCAAACGGCTTCCTTGCCATTTGGGGTTTGTGATAGTTAGAAAGAAAGTGCCGAAATTTTGTTTGGGGAGGTAGGACTTCGTCTCGCAAGATTAGCCTCGTCTCGTGGTCGGAGGTGTGTTGTCCAAAGGAAGAAGGCGGGCTAGGGATGAAAGAACAACGGTTAATGAACCGGGCCCTGCTTATGAAATTAGCTTGGCGTTTTCTTTCCGAACCACATGAGCTTTGGTGTCGTCTACTTCAGGCTAAATATAAGTTAACCCCACACAAAATGGGTGAGGACTACGATTTCCCACAAGGTTCGACGGTGTTGCGCGCCATCCGTGATGTTTGGAGAGACACGCTTGTGGGCAACCGTTGGTCGCTGGGCAATGGCCGGACTGCGCGGTTTTGGTGGGACCGGTGGTTAAACTCGGACATGCCATTGATTATATTAGCAATAGCCCCGGAGCCAGAAGCGATGCTATCCCTGACGGTGTCAGCCTTTGTTCAGCCGGACGGCGGATGGTGTTGGCCGCTGTTTCAGAATTTACTGCCGGCCACTTGTTTGCTACGGATATCGGTCGTTCCTCCGTCGTGCTCTTTTGGAGAAGAGGATCAGGTCTTCTGGGGTCGCTCTACGAACGGCAAGTTAGCAACAAAGTCTGCGTATTTGTCGTTAGTTCAGCCCTCGACAAGCCGCCAGGACCGATTATAGAAGATAATTTGGAGATGGGTGGGCCCGCAAAGAGTTTGGCATTTTTTGTGGCTGGCAGCCCGCG